TCTTTCTTTCTTTCTTTCTTTCTTTCTTTCTTCAATTATTTTACAAATGATAAACTGACAAACTGAGACTAGGAATTTTAAGAGATTTGTTCAAAATAGTGTAGCTAGTTAGTACTTATGAAATTCTTATGATTTCTGGAACTAGGTTATAAGATCTAACTGACTTTGGATGCAGTGCCTAGATAATGAAGACATCCAGACAAATGCATTTATTTAACGAGATTCAAGAATCTTTCTGTACAAGGTATTCTGCAACCTTGGAATGAAAAAGAAAAATGAGACAAAGTCCCTATAGAAGATCACAGTCTAATGGGGGAAATCGGGCCCACAGAGGAGTAAATTGCAACATACTTAGTAAGCCCATAGAAACATGAATGAAGTAACGTGGAAGCTATGAAGAATGAGTGAGCATTTAGAGGAAAGGGCAGAAAGGCTTTAATTAGGAGATCAAATGTAAATGGATCTTGAAACATTAGTAGAAAATTTTCAGGCAGTAGAGAAACAAGACCATTTCAGATTAAAGGGACTAATGCATAAAGAAACAGGAAAGAATGTTTGACTAGAACACAAATTTGGGGGACAGTGCAGAGGAAGAAGGTCAGGGAAGTATGCCAACACCAGATTATGAGGTTCTCTGTTCCTATAGGCCACACCAATAAGTTTGGGCTTGCCCTTTAGGCACTGTGGTACCAATAAATGTTATTAAAAAAAAAAAAAGCCCAGAAAAATCTCAAGAATTTCTTCAGAAATTGTTTCAGAATAGATTCTCTAGCTATATGTTGAGAGATTATTTAGTTTTTATGTGATTTAGACTCTCACTTAGGATGACCACCTGTGTTAGTTTGCCCTGGACTTTCCTAGGTTTAACAAAAAATGTCTTATAACCCCAGAAATTGCTCAGTCCCCATAAAATCTGATAAGAGTAGTCTATGTGAAAGTGAAGAAGACTGAGAAAGAGAAGATTATGAAAACCTGATGATTTATGGTGTAGGAGTAGTGGAAGTAGCCAGATGGCAGTCATAGCTACAACCTTGGTTCTTTTTCCCATTAGGAGCCCTGCTGGACATCAGATTTTATCCTATACCCTCTGAAATGTTCTGAGTGATTCTGAGTGACATACCCTGAGTTTTTTGCAAGATGACATACCAGTGTGGGTATTTGCCTCCAGTTAGTTAGTAAACAAACTATTAGAGCAAAGATTGGTGGAAGGAAGGTGTCACTAGGAAAAATATACCTCACATGACCTTGTAATGTCTGGAAGAGCTCTGGCACCCCCTTAGCCACTTCCCTGATTTTTTCCCTTTTACTGTGGCAGATGCCTGTCCCTAGTACTCCTGGGAGAAAAGGTTCTGTTATGATGCTTCAAATTCAAGGACTCAGATCTACTATTTGACAATTCAGTGGAAACCACAAATTTGCTAATAACACAGGACCAAAGCACATAGTTGATGAAAAATAATAGCTAATGTTTATGTGTGCTACGGCGAATTATGTAAATTAATTTATTTAACCCTTACAAAAATCCCAGTAGGCACAATGATTGTCTCCAATTATAGAAACAGGCAAAAAAAAAAAAAAAAAGGTGAAATGACTTTTCCAAGGTTACCAATGAATATAAGTGGAAGAGGTAAAATTTTTAAACTTAAGACCATGCTCTTAAGATATAATATCTTACTAATTGTATGAATGGGCTGATGGATGAATGAATAGACAGATGCAGTACACTTTTCCAGAAGCAGAGAAAAGAAATAACAACAGGTGCTTCAGGGCTGAGATTTTATATAGCTTCACAATCCTGAATAATTTTAAATGGCATGTGTATTTTTAAATAGAATTTATAATAATAGATAGTTCTAGATATAACTTCCAAGTTTCTGAATATTTTACTTTCAGTGTGTAGTCCAGATAGCGTGTTTAAAAAAAAAAAGTTTACCCAGGTTTTTTTATTGGGTACACTTATATTAAAAAATATAACTCCAACTCTCATGTTCTTAAGAATATAAATAAATTGTAATCTAACTCTCTGATACATAGATCAGAGATCTAATTGAAGGAAAACAACAGAACAGGAATTTCTTCATATATCAATTTGGGTTTTATATAATTGTAATTTTTCCTGACGTGAAAAGCCTTGTGTATGGTCTTTCCTTTGTTCTCCTGAATTATATACACATTATCTGTTACATAGGTTTTAATCTTGGAGAGAACAATTGCTCCCTGGAATCAGGAAGAATCTTAGAATGAGGACTTGGGGGAAGTGCAGGAAGAACAGTTAAGAGCAAGATCTCTCTTTTTGAGATCTCTTTCTGAGATCCTTTCTGTCAATATTTGGGAAGGACATAGAATAAATATATTATGCCTAGAGAATTTAAAGGGTATTGAGTTTTCCCTTCTGTTACTTCTTTTTGCAGATGTGAACAGCAAGGAAATGCAAAGTGGAAACCAAATTTCTGTGTCTCACTTCATTTTGGTGTGCCTACACTACCCACCACAGTTGGGGATTTCACTATTCCTAGCTTTCCTTGTCATCTATGCCCTCACTATCTCTGGCAATGAGCTCATCATTCTCACTGTCTTGGTGGACACCCAGCTCCACCGCCCGATGTACTGGTTCCTATGTCACCTTTCCTTCTTGGACATGACCATTTCCTCTGCCATTGTCCCCAAGATGTTAGCTGACTTTCTCTTGGATAGTAAGATGATCTCTTTTGGAGGCTGTGTAATCCAATTATTTTCTTTCCATTTTCTGGGCTGCACTGAATGCTTCCTTTACACACTCATGGCTTATGACTATTTCCTGGCCATTTGTAAGCCTTTACATTATGCTACCATCATGACCCGTAGAGTTTGTAACTTCCTGGCTTTTGGTACCTGGCTGAGAGGCACCCTGCACTCACTTTTCAAAACAAGCTTCATGTTCCGGCTGCCCTTCTATGGTCCAAACCACACAGATTACTTATTTTGTGACATCCCTGCAATGCTGTGTCTAGCTTGTGCTGACTCCACCATCAACAAACTGGTCATCTTTGTAGACATTGGCTTCCTGGCCCTCACCTGCTTTATGCTTATCCTCACTTCCTATGGCTACATAGTGGCTGCCATCCTGTGGATACGGTCTGCTGAGGGGCGCTGCAATACCTTCTCCACTTGTGCTGCCCACCTCATTGTTATTATTTACTGTGTGCCCTTAGCCTTCATTTGCCTTCATCTTGGCTCACAGGAACCTCTGGATGAGGTGGTAGCTATCTTCTACACTGTCATCACTCCCTTGCTTAACCTCATCATCTACACACTCCACAACAAAGAAAATGAAGGCAGCATTATGGAAGCTGAGAGGTTGCAAGGTTTTGCAGCCTCTATGACTCCACAATCGTAGACATACAGTAGATAATAAAATTAAGACACCAGATGAGACACCAGGTAATTAGGGAAATTTAAGGTAGAAACAGAAAGAATGAATTATATAGAGAGTAGGGTATTCTTAGGTACAGAGGTGAGAACATTAGAAAGTTCCACATTGTACTTGCTTTCAAAAACAATTTTCCATATTTCTATCTTCAATATCAGTGATATCAGAGCAACTCAGCAAGGATGAAACCTTACAAAAAAGAGCCAAGACAAGTAAAAATCTACATGAAAGCTCTGTTTCTCTATGACATCCACCTATATGTTTATTACTGTTTCTAATACCTGTGTTAATACCCATGTAGCTTTACAATTTTGTTTATTTATTTTCATTTATTTATTTTTTATGGTGGCATTGATTAATGAAATCCAGAAAGTTTCAAGTGTACAATTCAACAGTCATATATATTTTGCATTGTATGTACACTGCCCATAGTTAAGATTTCTTTCTGTCACCACATAGTTGACCCTTTTTACCCAATCTACCTCCTTATCCCTGCTACCCTCTGGTAACCACTAGTCTATTGTCCATGTCCGTGAGTCTCTGTTTATCATGTTTGTTTGTTGCTTTTAGGTTTATATCCCACATATAAGTAATATCATGAGGTTTTTAACTTCTTCTGTCTGGCTTATTTTGCTTAGCATGATTATCTCATGGTCCATCCATGTTATGGCAAATGGCAGTATTTCATCTCTTCTTATAGCTGAGTAATATTCCATTGTATATATGTACCACAGCTTCATTATCCAATCATCTATTGTAGGACACTTCCGTTGCTTCTATGTCCTGGGCATGGTGAATAATGCCGCCAATAACATGGGTGTGCAAATATCTTCTCAGGTGGATATATATTTTCAAGTCTTTGGGATAAATACCCAGTAGAGGGATTGCTGGATCATATGGTAGATCAATTCTTAGTTTCTTGAGGAACTTCCACACTGTTTTCCATAGTGGCTGTATCAATTTGCAGTCCCACCAGCAGTGTACGAGAGTTCCTTTTTCTGTGCATCCTCTCCAAAATTTGTTATTACTTGTCCTGTTGATTATAGCTATTCTAACAGGTGTGAGATGGTATCTTATTGTAATTTTGATTTGCATTTCCCTAATAGCTAGCAATGTTGAACATCTTTTCAGACGTTTGTTGGCCACTCGTATGTCCTCTATGGAGAAATGTCTGTTCAGGTCCTCTGCACATTTTTGATTTGGATCATTTGGGATTTTTTTGTTGTTATTGAGTTGTGTAAGTTCTTTGTATATTTTGGATGTTAGGCCCTTATCGGAGGCGTTGCTTGCTAATGTATTTTCCCATTCAGATGGTTGTCTCTTTACTTTGTTGGTGGTTATATTTGTTGTGCGGAAGCTTTTTAGTTCTATATAGTCCCAATCATTTATTTTAGCTTTTACTTCCCTTGCCTTTGAGGTCAAATTCATAAAATCCTCTTCAAGTATAGGGTCTTTGAGTTAAGTTTCTATGTTTTCTTCTATGAAATTGATTGTTTCAGGTCTTATATTCAGGTCCTTAATCTATTTTGAGTTAATTTTGGTGTGTGGTGACAGCATAGTTTTATTGTTTTGCAGTTGACTTTATATAGGTCCTTCACATGTTTTGTTAAATTTATTTCTAGGTATTTATTCTTTTTGTTGCAATTCTAGTTTTCCCAGCACCATTTATTGAAGAGGCTTTCCTTTCTTTACTGTATGTTTCTGGCTCTTCTGTCAAAAATTATATGCCAATATAAACATGGGTTTACTTCTGGACTCTTGATTCTCTTCCAGTGGTCCATATCTGTTTTTCTGCCAATTCCATGCTGTTTTGATTATTGTTGCTCTGTAGTTTAATTTAAAGTTGGGCAGAGTGAAACCTCTAGCCTCGTTCTTTCTCCTCAGGATGGCTTTGATGATTCGAGGTCTTCTGTGCTTCCATACAAATCTGATGATTTTTTGTTCTATTTCTTTAACAATTGGAGATGGGACTTTGATAGGAATTGCATTAAATCTGTATAATGCTTTAGGTAATAAGGTCAGTTTTAACTCTGTTAATTCTGCCAATCCAAGAACACAAAATATCTTTTCATTTCTTTGTATCTTATTCATTTGCTTTTAATAGGGTCTTATAGTTTTCATTATATAGGTCCTTCACATGTTTTGTTAAATTTATTTCTAGATATTTATTCTTTTTGTTGCAATTGCAGAGGGAATTACTTTTTCCACTTCTTATTCTGACAATTCACTATTAGAGTATAGGAACACTATGGATTTTCAAACATTTGTATAAAGTCTTAATATTGCTTTTTTTTTCTTATAAATATTGAATCACACTCTCTACCCTCAATCTCAGTATCTGTCACTATTAATGACAGTTTTAGTAGCATTTCTCAGAGTCCCTTGGGGTTCCATGGTGTTCAGTTTGGAATATATGAGGGGAGTCACCATCTGGCTTGGCGGATGGAGGCTATGACTCATCCTCGCTTTTTGCAACTATAGCTGGTAATAATTAACTGTTGCTTTTCTTCTTCTCCATTTCTCTGCCATATCCACTTCTCTGCTTTCTGCTCTGATCTTTGGGCACTATTTCTTATTTCAATGCCTTCTATATCTTTCTCTTGCCTAATTGCACTCATTAGGACCTCCAATATTACATTGAATAACAGTGGTGATAGTGGCCAGCCTTACCTTGTTTCTGATCTTAGAGGAAAGGTTTTTAATTTTTCGCCATTAAGTATAATGTTGGCTGACGGTTTGCCATACATAGCCTTCATTATGTTAAGGTACTTTCCCTCTATACCAATTTTGTTATTTATATGGTGTATCACATTAATCAATTTGCGTATGTTGAAACATCCCTATGCCCCTGCAATGAAGCCCACTTGATCATGGTGTATAATCTTTTTGTTGCTGTATTCGGTTCGCTAGTATCTTATTTAGGATTTTTGCATCTGTGTTCATGAGAGATATTGGTCTGTAGTTTCCTTTTTTTCTGTTACCTTTATCAAGTTTTGGTAGCAGGGTAATACCGGGCCAATAAAATGAGTTAAGAAATAATGTCTCCTTTTTAATTTTTTGGAAGAATTTGAGGAGAAAAGATATTAAATCTTCTTTGAATGTTTGGTAAAATTCACTGGTGCAGCCATCTTGTCTTAGGGTTTTCTTTTATAGGATACCATCTTCTTTTCCCTAACTACCCTGAGTATTCTTTGTCTTTTATTTTTGATATTTTAATGTAATTTGTCTTGGAGAAGGTCTTTTTTGGGTTGAGATAATTGGGTGTTCTGTTGACTTCTTGAATTCCAGTCTCCAGTTCATTCCCTAGATTTGAGAAATTCTCTTCAACTATTTGTCTGAAAATGCTTTCTAATCCCTGCTCCTTTTCCTCACCTTTGTGAAAGCCCATTATTCTTATGCTTCTTTTCCTGATGATATTATCTAGTTCTTGTATTTCTTTTCATTATTTCTCATTCTTCGGTTTCTCTCTTCTTCCTTCTGATTTATTTCTAGATTTCTGTCTTCGATATCACTGATCCTTTCCTCCATTTGGTCAACTCTATTTCTCAAGCTTGCTATTTCATTCTTCATCTCTTTTAGTGTGTTCTTCATATCCAGAAGTTTTATTTGGTTCTTTTCGAGGGTTTCGGTCTCCTTGCTAATAAACTCATTCTGCCGTTCTCATTGTTTTTTCAATTCCTGGAATTGTTGGTATGAATTATTTTGGATCTCATTGACTTTTTTTCAGAAGTACCATTTCGAATTCTCTCTCATTTAAGTAGCATATTTTTATGACTTTAAGCTTATGTTCTGAAGATTTTTCTTTTTCTTTCTGAGTTGCCTTGTCACCTTGGTTGTTCATAGTGTTTATTGGACTATTTCTCCACTTCAGCTATAATTGAAGTGTATTCAGCATTTTTGTTTCTTACCAGAATGAAGATTTTTTATATAAATATCTCTCTTTAGCCTGTTGCTAACAAGACATTTATCTTTTGCTTTCCAGTAGGTGGCTTCTAAGCCTCTTGGATCCCTGCTTTATTTGTATAAAGTCTTAATATTGCTTTTTTTTTCTTATAAATATTGAATCACACTCTCTACCCTCAATCTCAGTATCTGTCACTATTAATGACAGTTTTAGTAGCATTTCTCAGAGTCCCTTGGGGTTCCATGGTGTTCAGTTTGGAATATATGAGGGGAGTCACCATCTGGCTTGGCGGATGGAGGCTATGACTCATCCTCGCTTTTTGCAACTATAGCTGGTAATAATTAACTGTTGCTTTTCTTCTTCTCCATTTCTCTGCCATATCCACTTCTCTGCTTTCTGCTCTGATCTTTGGGCACTGCCGCTGGGTAGAGTTTACTGCTCTCTTGGGCTGGGCTATTCAGGAAACCCACCACGTCTTCTGCCTTCCCTTTCCTTCTGCAGGGCGCTCAGGCTGCGAGAGGCTTCTTTTTTGTCCCTCCCAGTCTACTACCCAACTCTCATGGTTCTGACCTGTGATATCTCTTATTTGCAAATCCCTTGTTTGACGTGCTTGTATGCGGGTTGGGTGTTTTTGTTGAGTTATAGATGTTCACCTTGTTGTTTTAAGGGAAGAGATCTGGAGACATTTCTCACTCTGTCATGTTTCTGACGTCACTCTAAAAAATCTAATTTCAGAAAGAATTCCCTTGAAATTTCTCAAAGCACCTGCTGATTTTTAATCAATACAACTCTGGTTTGTTCCTGATTTATAAAACAAAACTAAGTTTGTTTCTTCTACATAACCGTTTTCTCTTTTTCTTTATTATATTGTCTAGGATATTCAATAACTTTTAAGTAGTAATGGATAAAAAAGGCATTTTTGATTTTACTTGACTTTAAAGGAAATACAGCAAAATGTCCACCTTTAGATGTGATGTCTCTAAAATGATTATGATTATTATCACTTATCTTGCTTTTAAAGTTGCTTTAAATTATTATTTTAGTAAGAT